AACACAGACTCGTTCACCATATTTACCAGAAATGCCCTGGTGTTGTCTTTTTAGCGCAGCTGTGGGGTTCAAGGTTCACAGATCTCCAGCATCCCACTATTGTTTCCAGAGGTTTTCCTCCTCCTGTCCTCTAAGGACAAAAGTGTCCACTAAGCTTTCACCGCCCATAAATGTGTTTGACTAATTACATTCTGCAGCAGGTGTAGGCATCTGAAGGAGCAGGACCCTCGTGATGACGGAGTGGAAATGAGACGTGGCTGTCATGAAACGTCATAATTAGGCTGCTGGGCAGAAAATGAACAAACATCTGTGAGTGGCTGAAGATAATGGATGATCTAAAACTCAGTTTTCAGTCACAGATACCTTTAATCTGGATAATTTTATACTAAGATAAACACTAATGAAATCCTGGTGGATTATGTCTCTTTTATTTTTACTTTTGCATGTAGAAGCCTTAAATTTAGCCATGCAGTTCCTTTTTATCATTGGGGTGAAGGTATTAAACCGAATACTCTAAAAGTGTCATTGTGTGAAAATGTGTGAGGTGACATTATAGTGCTTATTCTTGAGCATACATGGGGATTATCTTTTTATTTACATCTGTATCATGGTAGTGCTGCCATGTTTGTTTGAATTCCTCTGAAAAGACTCTTGATTCTTAGCTATTTGTCTCTAATCATCTGTTTAAATGTATAGTTTAAAGTGAGATTTGCTTTAAACAGTTTATATCCTAATTGGTGCAGAGTTTATTGGGAGACTGGGCAGTTTTGGCTTGCTTGTGGCACCACCTAGTGTCCGTTTGTAGAACAGAAAGCAAAACTTGTCTCCTCGCTGTGCACTCCCCAGCTTTCATTAGTGTCTACAGGAGAGATTCATCACTAAATTAAACAAATCAGCTGTGTTCATGATCTAAAATATGCAGGCCGTGCTGGAAACAGACTGCAGGACCAGGTATGTCAGCTCAACATGTCAGCCTGGCAACTCTGAAGTTGCAAGTGGAATATTCTGGCCACAGGGGATGATAGGGGCTGGGTGGCCTTTCATTAACCATGCAAAGGGCAATTTTAGCACATACTGGCTCAAGAAAATGGTTTAAAAATATGAAAAAGTTGCAAAGTATCCATTTAATTCTGACCAAACTGATGAACCAGTGGTTTGTCTACGCAGGGAGAAGACCAACGTGCATAGGTGCCATCTTTAGTGACTACCAAAAAAAAAAGTCATAGACGTTCATGCAAATGTTATGTTATAAACCTGACCAATGCTTTTCTGCATGATGTAGCTATTTACAAAGAATTTCATAGTTATTTTCTGTGCTAGCAGCAGTTAGCTGTAGCATTCCAGTGCAGCCTGGTGTAATTCTAACTGAAATCTTAGGACATTTACATTACATTAAAAGACATTTACAGGAACCACGATGCAATATCTTGGAAATGGAGTTTTAACAAAGGCAGAAACCCACTGAAGTTACGACCCTTCCGTGACTAGCCGTTAGCTCATCAGTCCTGTCAGTAATAATCTCTGTGATACAAACAGAGAATGTTTACAGATTATAATTATGTTATACTGCGTTGGTGCCCTAGAGATGATATAAGGATGTTTTTTGCTTTGACAGATCATTAACACATTAATATTCTTCATGATCTACTATTGTCTCATCAACCACAGCTAATTAGGATATTATTGTAATTAAGCTCAGCAGTTGTTCAGAGGGCCTGTGTGAAATCTAGACTTCTAATCAGACCGTGAAGTTCAAAAGGCCAAATTTATCCTCTGTTCAGCTCGTTTGTTAGATTAAGACTGTTTCTGCTGCTCTACCGTACATCCAGTCATCATCATGTCACAACATCTCTTTGTGCTTCCATTTAGGAAAACAGAAAAGCACAACACGGTCCAGCAACAACAATCCGAAACAATAAAGGTTTAAAGGTTTGTGCTAGAGGAGTTGTGGAAGGATGAACAGATCATCCCAGCTGAACCTGAGGAGTGACTTTGCCCATCACTTGTGTAAAAGGATCACTAGGAGCTTTGTTTGGAACACAGATCTTTTAATTCCTCTACCAGTTTCCTTTTGGGTCGTGTTTCCCCGTACCAGGGGGAAAAATGAACAGTGTCCTCATGTTATTATATGGCATCAATTTTACCTTTTCACAATGTTCTTCCACCTCAGAGAGGAAATCCTCTACATACAGAACCTCTGTGTGTGTGTGTTTGTGTGTGTGTGTGTGTGTGTGTGTGGGGGGGGTGTTCTGTGTATAAACCACAACGAATGGAGCTCCTATAAGAGCTGGGGGACAAATCTCCCCCCTGCTCGGGGTTTCTCAGGAAGAAGAGCACGCTTCTGGTGTACATGACCTATTTCTTCAAGCTTTTCAAAGGCGTGGGTGGAGGTGGTGATTGGAGGCCCTTCTTTTGTCATAAAGAGGCTGGCAGGGTCAGTGGTTAGCCACAGACTGAAGCACGCCGTTTAGAGCCGAGTCTGGCCAGCGCAACCTCACATCACATCAGGACCGTCTCCTCCAGCGGTCTGAGCTGCACACGAGGGCTTGGCTGACCAAGTTACAGCAGCATGGACTAACGTTCACACACACACACATACACACACATGTGGTTTTTATCGTTCAGTTAGAGCTTGGTCTGCCACTGGCGTGTCGTGGCCAGAATCCCTCCTGTTCTTGTTTTTGAAGGGTTATTATGACTTGCAGTGACTCGTGTTGCAACACAAGGATGTTGAAACACTGCGACTTTCTTCAGGAAGTTCATGTTGCTGATGTGTCCGACTGTTACCATGCATACCTTTTAAAGACAAAGTGCAGGACTGTCTCGTTTAGTTGGACAGTGTGAGCTTTAGCAGACGGCAGTTATAATAGAAAATTAGAAACCAGATCAGAAAAGAGCAGGCCGACTCTTGCACAGACATCTTCTGTTCCTGTTTGATTCCACTTCTGCATTTTCTCTAGGATTGCACCGAGTGACAGTTTGAGCCTGAGCTGATGAAGAAACGTTTGGGTTTTAATGAAGCCGTTTACATCAGACCTGAAGGTTTCCTTCCTCCTGTTTAGGATAGCTCCTTTCTACATCTTTCTGTCTTTGCTCTGAGGAATAGACCTCTCTCTGTTCATGATTCCAGGCATCTCTGCTGCTGATGACAGCTCTACAAAGTGGAGTCATGTTTCGCGTGTGGCTCCCACGGGCATGAGGGATCGGTGCTCTGCCTGGTCGTGTCAGGTTCCTCTTAAAGAGAAATGTCACTCTTCTTCACTCCGCGTGTGGGAGAGCATTTCCTCCTGATGAAATCAGTTTGATCTGACTGTATGTCTGCAGTAGTCATGTGCTGTCAGCTGACCCAGTGGTACTTTGTGTTGCGACCTTCAGATGTTTAGGACTCATGCAACAAACCACATATTTGGACTCTGTTTACCGTTGAATACTTAAAATGCTGATGAATGAATTAATGATTTTATTTGTCCCTTAAAGGGACAGGCCAGACTTGAAAGAATGGTGTCTGAAATATTTCTGAAAAACAACATTTTACCTGTTGTAGAAAACTCTCGGAGCAAATTTTTAGTTCAATTTTGATTTAGAGCTGCTAAACTTGCTGTTTGATGATGCACACGCGTTTTAAAATGGCTGCCACGTGTAACTTGCTTTGATTTGAAGCGTCGTTTGTGCACCTCCCCTGAAATCAACGTGACGCACCCGAACGCAGCAATATACATGTAACCAGTAGCTGGAGTTGACAAAACAAGCAAGACCATCATACCATCTGTGATACTGCTGCTGTTCGTCTTTTTGCCGTGATCTCAAAATGAAACGGTTACTGATCTCTTCCATTGGCGCCATGTTTGTTTTGGTTGTTTGCCGCAAACCTGGCTCTCTATCTGGTCTGAGTACTCGACTGCACCTCCTGGCGGACTCCTTCAGTATTACATGCAGTGCAGTGCCATGCAGCAGGGAGCATGTGAACAAAGACACAGTGATGACGGGTGATGGAATGCAAATAGAAGGTTCTACGATCTCCGAGCTTTTGTAGATTGTCACCAAATTATAATCCTCTATCCTCAGATTGCACGGCCCTAATGCAGTCTGCTGCTTGCGCCAAGCAAGGATGAAAAAGCAAGTATATTCTAGCCCTTAGTTCAGTTCTGGTTTGACTGACAAGCTAACGGCTAGTCTGAGCAGATCTAGCACTAAGTTGGAAAAATGCTTTCACTAAACAACTCCAATCTCTTGTGAAGGGATAATCCAGCTTGGTCATGGCAGTGCGGGACTAACGCTGGCTTTTCAACACAGTCATAACTAATCTCTGTTTCTCTGAACTGAGGTTATTCAAAGAGCTATTTAGGATAAGTATGAAATTAGTACGACAATGGCAGAGGGAGTTAAGTACCTGCCCCATAACCGGAGGGTTGCAGGTTCGAGCCCTGTCTGTTGCAGTTGTTGTTTCCTTGGGCAAGACACTTAACCCACATTGCTTGCTCCTCATGGTGGTGGTGGGAGGGTGGGTGGGTGGGGGGTGGGGGTGGGGGTGGTGGGGTGTTGTGTCTGTGCTCAGCAGCCTCGCCTCTGTCACTGAGTCCCAGGGCAGCTGTGGCTACATTGTAGCTCATCGTGTGGATGATTGTTATGAAGCATCTTGGGGGATTGTAGAACCCTAGATGGCGCTATACAAGTACAGGTCGTTTACCATAGTTCACTTTAATGAAGACACAAAAATAGGTCCATATGCAAAGTTTTAAAAGAAATTAAGTGAAAAAGCAAAAGTGTTAAAAGCTAACGTAAGCTTTTATTAGTTATGTTAGTTCATCAGAAGTATTAAACTATCAAACTAACATGGAAATGTGAAACATTTTAGCTAGTAGCAAAGCAGTTAATATGCTAAGGAAAAGAACATGTTTTTGTTTCTTGCACTTTTTAGAAATATGAAAAAAAATGACGCTATTTAAATTTGGGATTCTTTGACAACTAATGCCACTTCTGTTTTGTCTTCTGATAACCAGAGATCCGTAATCAGCTGGTGGAGCAGTTCAAATGCCTGGAGCAGCATTCCGAGTCTCGTATCCAGCTGCTGCAGGACCTGCAGGAGTTCTTCAGACGCAAAGCTGAAATTGAACTGGAATACTCCCGCAGCTTGGAGAAACTGGCTGAGAGGTTCTCCTCCAAGATCCGCAGCTCCAGAGAACACCAACAGTTTAAGTAAGTTCCTCTTCCTGCAGACCAAAGGCTCACTGAGGCTGATTGGTTTTTCACACCTAGTAGAACAAAAATCATAGACTTATTTCTGAAAACACATTTCTCACCCTACTGGTTGAAAGCAGCATTACAACTGCCGTAAACGAGCTTACTGCAGCCTGCTGTAGCTACCGCTAACAACGAGCTAATGCTAACATGAGCCAACCAATACTAAAATACACCACCAAGTAAAAAGATCCACACATTGGGACTAAAAAATATTACCAGTAGCAACAAAGCCAGGTCACCACTATGGATGGGTACCTCATTCGGTACTTTTTAAGGCACAGACCAAATTCCGTAGTAGCGACCAAGGACCGATTCACGTGATATGAAACGATGCCTTGTTTCGGTTCCTTTTGCCAATTACATACTATCATTCAGTAACTGATTCCCCAAGATAGACAGCAGCACATGCACAAAGCGTTATGTCTTCAGTCGCTGCGGGCTAGATGCAAACAGAGCAAGCAGCATGGTAGACAGAACGTGCTCTAAAGTTTGGGTCTTCACTAAATGTGAAGGGTGATGGGTGTCGATGACAACATTGACAACGTGTGAAGTGAGTCATCGTCATCTTACTCTGCTCCAGCAGGTAAATAAAATGTTGAAGATAACGTTAGCTTGAGTTTTTAGCTTTGAGCTAATGTTGTTAGCAGCTAATGTTGCGTTCGCTTTCTCCTTGGTACTCGAAAATTCCAACTTCTGAGGAGGCAGAGACAAAGCGCTCTAAAGTTTGGCTTCACTTCACTAAATGCGATGGGTGACTGAGGTGATTCTGATGTTGACGTTCTAAATGAGCTATCATTGTCTTAATTCGCTCCAGCAGGTAAATAAACTGTTTAAGATAATGTTTGATTTATAATTTAGCTCCCGTTGCTAGCAGCTAATGATGCTTTTGCTTTCTCCTCGGTACTCAGAAATTCCAACTTCAGAGTAGGAAAAATCAACTGTTTGAAAATGAATGGCCAAAGGAATGAAGATCACTGCAGAAATGTTTGCTCAGTTTAATTTACAGTTCATAAATCTACAAGGACCCACCCATCACAGAGTTTGTCCAACGTTTTGTGCAACGTTTTCGCATCTTTAAATCATTTACTTTGAATTATCCATTTAAACCACCTTCTTTGGTCAGAATATGGCACTAGCAACTTCAGAGTGCCGGTCCGGTCCCTGTTGGACTTACCTGCATACCTGGCACTGTAGCCTGTTTCCTGCATGTTTTAGATCATGAACACAGCTGATTTGTTTGATTTATTGATGAACTACTCCTGTAGAAACTAAGGAAGGCTGGGGAGACATTCCAGCTGTTGGATTAAGATGCTGAAAAGACAAACGCACAGCGAGCAAAGGAGTTTCACTTTTGGTTCTACTAAACCAGGGGTGTCAAACTCAAACTCACAAGGGGCCGAAATGAAACTCTGGGACGGAGTCGAGGGCCAAACTTAATATTTTTTGAAAAAGTGACGGCAAATTTGCACATTTTCTTTATCAACATGTATGCAATTTTGAACCTTTAAATTTGGAAACAAACTTATTTCTGCATTAACACTGAATGTGGAATAACCAAATTACACACGAGCAAGTCAGTTACAAATAAAACACATCAGTGGTATTCATTACTTGTGGTATATTCAGCATTTTTAAAATCTATTCAGGATTTATGTTTTCTTGTTTATTCATTTTTCTTATTTTTTATTCTCCTTTTTTCTCCTGTAATACGTGTCATCGCTGCTGTGACGTCTAGCTTTCCCCACTGAGGAACAATAAAGGGATTTTCTATTCTATTCATCTATCTGCAGCCTTTCCATTTCCTGTTTACTGTAGGTTAAATCTTTTCTCACAGGCCAACAACAAAATAAAAATATAATTTTATCTTAAATGAAAATGCAACATCTCACCTGTTAACTTTCATGTTTTGGAGCAGAAAACGAGCAGAAAACCAACATATTTAAAGCTCAGTTTGCTCCACTGGTTTACTGTGATGCTCACCTGTTCCAGCCAGATACCTGCATCATGGGGTTGATCTGAGCTGAGGAGGAGACTCCTGTTGTTTTGTTCATCTTCATCATAATAATGACAACATTAGATGACAACAGGTGCTCACATAGGTTTGTGCTGATGAACATGTCTGAGCAGCTTGACCACGTTGTTGTGTGTCAGGGAGGAAACACAACCACAGAGTCATGCTGGTTTGAGCGTGTCGCTGTTCGCTGGAGTTATATCAGCTCTGTCTGGAAGTTAGTTTGAAAACTTTCTCTTTAAGTCGTGAACACATTACTGAGCGGCTAGAATCTCCGTTTCTGGTCTTCAACGTCAGAAAACAGCTGAGTGAACTCGGCGCTGAGTGAGAGGAGTGTAGTTTGTCCGAGACAGCGGAGCTGCAGACACCCAACTACCTCTGACTGCCTCGGCGCTGAAAAAACACAAAGGAGGGGGTGCGTCGGCTCCGAGCTGGCGCCGCAAAGCATCATGGGAGTTGTAGTCTTTGCGGTAAAATCGGCCAGCGGGCTAGTTTTAATATATTTTTGATATTTATCTCGCGGGCCACATAAAAATGCTCCGCGGGCCAGATGTGGCCCGCGGGCCTTGACTCTGACATATGTGTACTAAACGGACAATAGGGGCGCTAAAAGCAAGCCCAAACTGCCTTCAGCAGTTTCTGGTCAGCAGAGTGCAGTCTAGTGTGAAGTTTTATCTATTTTAACCAATTTTTTGTCCCTGCTTTGTTGAGGTACCTGGAATGGCTGAGTCGGGCCAGCGTCGCAACTGTGGTTTCTGATTGGCTAAGGGTGGAGTAACTGGTTGTTCCGGAGTTTTCTGTCTTCTGCTTCACTGTCTGCAACCATTTCCTGGTTCAGGGTCCAACAAAAAGCCATAAAACTGAACAGAATGTCCAGCAATACCACCTTTTCTCTGCTGAGCTGTGTTTCTGTGGAGCAAACAGGGTACCTTACATTGTTTACTGATCACTGCATGCTGTTTTTGTGTGGAGTAAAGATGGCATTCACTCAGATGAGCTGAATTAACCCACGCTTACAGAGCTGTTTCAGGCTGAGTGGTGCTGTTATGGATTTTATCAGTATGTTTACCAATAACCCGTTTCCTGATCGAAGAGATGAGGAGAGACACATTAAGCAACAAGTCAACCAGTTATAACTGTGGCATATGCTCGAGGCAAAATGCCCCGAACATCTGGTCACAGACTTTATTTGAAACAAAAAGATAAGAAACAAATAGGAGTGAGAGAGAGAGATTGTGTGTGTGTGGGGGTGGGGTGGGGGTGGGGGTGGGGGTGGGGGGGGGGCAGTGTGTGGGTGTGTCTGAGTGTGAGAATGCTTCAGGACATTTGTTAACAGGATTAAGCAATGAAATATAAAATTTCCACAACATAATCCCTCCTGTTTATCCGAATAGGATAACCAAACAAAAAGAAAACAACAAAACAAAGAACAAATAAGTAAAATAATAAGTAAAACAATATGAAATTCTACCCACTTCCATAACTTGTCACCATTACCTATGAATCATGACTCAAGGGACAGGGAAGGGGTAAAACCAGGAAAGGTGATCATCTCGGTAGTCATAAGGACCAGTAGGGTACAAATCAAGCAACTCGAGACAAAAATGATAAGCATCTAACAAGAAAAATAATAATACTCTATGATGAGGTAGGAAAGGTTCAGAATCAGCACGATGAAGTGAGAACACAGCATGAGGTGCTGCATTCGTTTGTCCATCACGGATCGTAATCTAAATCCTGATAACTTCGTCCAAAGAATCATTCCATACAAGCGTAGTACAAAAATCAGTAAAATAATAAAGAACAAATAAAATAATAAAACAAGATGACATCAACAGCATTTAACAGAAATACAATTAATCTGTTAAATCAACTATTATAAACGTAAGGAGAGCTATATCATACAAATTCAATCTAAATAAATCCATTATCACGGATTAGTATCATCAGCACCAAGCGTCGTCACCTCTCTGATGGTCTGGAGGTCAAAGGTTAAGAGGCTGAGCTTTGCCTCTCCAGGCTTTGTTTGTTTGAACAGAGGAATGGAGGCTCTGCTGTGAAGTTGAGGACAAGTGGATGAGCTAGTATTTTAGATCTGACGCTGCTGTGACCCGTGCGTCTGTGCAGCATGAAGCACTGGAGTTTTCTCTGAAAAACGACATGCAGAGCAACAATGCAGCATGTTGGAGTACCGCTTGATGAAAGAGGCAAGGTAATTTTTAACACCAAAGCCAACAGGAAGTGCCTCTCCGGTCTTTATTGATGAGTGTCAGGGAGGCAGCATGGAGGGGATTAAAAGCCTTCGCAGAGTCAAGTCCTTTTCCGATAAATACACACTTCCTTCTGGAAATCCGTGTTCAGACACATCAGAGGCTTAGATGGTGGCATCCAGTACATAACTACAGCTCTGGTGCTCATTTAGGGGTGTGTACATCATAGACATGGCTTTATCCTCGAGTCCAAGGATTAATGCAGCGTTTTGCTGCCACCGCTCCTTCCTTGTCTCTTCATTTTCTTTCCTACGTTTGTGATTCATCATCAAAACGTTCCTCAGAGTCTTTAAGATGGTACTGACTGAATGCATCTGCCTCCCAAAAAACATAATTGAAATAAATGCGAAAGAAAAAAAAATCTCTAATTGTCGACAAGACTTTGGTTGTTTAGAGCTCCTCGTTTGTCTTTTTCTGCATGCCGATGATATCCTGTTTGTAAATTTTTGCCACTTGGAGTCATCCGATAACAGTCACTTGCCTGGAGACTGACTGATCTTCAGGTTTTTATAAAGAAGTGGAAGGAAATTAGAGGTGGAGGAATTTCTTTTACAGCGTCCGTTGTGTTTGATATTCATCAGTGATACAGCAAAGGTTCTGTCTGGGTGCCATAAAGTAAGCCCAAAAGCTACAATTAGTACACGTTGCTTGCAGCTCCCAGAGATGGTGCTGGTCCAGTTCTCAGGCCTGTGACCCCTCTGCTCCGGATTCCTGTGAAATGAGAGTGTCTGTGTCGTCTCTTATTCTCTCCTAGGCTTTAGTCCTGAACTTTTAAAATTGGTGCCCTTTAAAACTGCTTCACATGGAAAGGTTTTAAAATAGTTTGGATTGCCAAAAAATCCTGGATTTAACAGTTGTGGTCTTTCGTTGTGTGGTGTGCAGCAACACAACACACGCTACACACACCAGTTCCACACACAACCGTTTTCCATTCAGATGGGAAATATTGCATCCCAGTAAGTAATTCCTGATTGTGATGTCACAAATGGGGACTTTTTTAAACGGCTGATTTTAGGCACATAATTCCTGAAACCTAACACTGACAGAAAACAGATGGAAGGTTTATTTTTGTGTTTAAAGTGATTATAGAGGCAGTAGAGACCCTCACGGCAGCACAAAAGGATGTAAAAGGTGAATTTTACATAATTTGTCCCCTTTAAAGTCCTATTCCTTATAGGTATGCATGTCATACACCTCCTTTTATGTCACTGCCTTTCTCCCTTTGAAAAATGGAGTCATGGGGATTTTGGTAAAACTTCGAATATTAAGAAAAGAGGCGAGCAGGTGGGACTGGGAGCTTATCTTTTGTAAGATCTTGTGTGATCTATTAGGAGTTACCTCCTACCACACCGAGTACTCCAGCACTATTCTACAGTGTTGATTTTATTTTCCTGTGAACATCTTTTAACATACTTCGTGCTTTTCAGGGTCTCAGGTGAAACAAGTCCTTGTCAGCAAATCTAAAAATGACAAATGGCTGTTTAATAATGGAAGTGTTGCCCAGCTCTGGTCCTCTTACACCAATTGTTCTGCAAGAAAAGCAGCTCTTTTATAGTTGGGAGCTTAGGTTCACCATCGCTTCAAACGATCAGCGGCGGGGTCAGAGGTTTATTTCATGGGAAGTGTGCGGGGCCTGAAGAGAAACCTGAGGAGGATAAATTAGGCTGCTGAAGAAGGAGCGGCTGGGGTGAGATGGAGCATTTCTCTGACCACTTATAGAAATTTGCAGAGTGCAGAGGTCCTTACAGGACGTGCTCATGTAGCGTATGGTGGGTCTGACATCTAAACTCTGCTTTGGGATTTCTGATAAATACATAATAATTGTGAGTTTTCTTTCCTAAACGTAAAGCACAGAGATGAGAAGTGGCATCGATTCCGCTCTGAAGAGGCTGCTTTTGTCTGATTAAAGCGTGTTCTGTGCGGAATAGTAATGAAAGCTCTCTGGTGTAGCTGCATGTCAGCTTCATTAGATGTGATTATGGAGGCTCTCTGAAGAGGATGTCTTTCATGCTGCTGCTGCTCATCCTTTCCTGTTCTTCACATGTGAAACCCAATTCCTCCACTCCGATTCCCCACCCCCAACCTTTAAACCTAAATAATGTTCAGGAAAGGTTTGAAGCAGATGTCTGTCTTAATCTACACGAATGCGCCCTGGTGTTTTGGTTTAAAAGGTACATATGGTTTTAAATGAAATTAGCATGATTGAAACTGTCTTGTTTTTAGACATTTAGTCTTATTTTTAGTCGACCAGAATAGAATGTTAGATTAATTCACTAGAATTCCAGCCAACCAACATTCGCTTACCCCGTTGGCAGATAAAAAAACCCTAAAAAACATGAATATTTGATGATATTTACCACCCCTCCCCACGAGGATGGGTCAGATACGGAGATGTAATTTCAGCAATGTGTGATGAAGACACACTGCTGCTTACCTTTAACCCTCCCGCTGTCCTAATGTGTGACCCCACGAGGAAAGTTGACCACTGAGCAGGATTGATGGTTTTACCTTTGAGGTCCACGTGGCAGGGGTGAGGTGGTGCTCACTCCTCACCCCTGCCACAATTTCCATGCAGCAGATAAGTTACAGTGTTTGTCTGGAGGAAATCTGCTGCTTATTCATTTGAAGCTACTAATAAAAAAATAGCAGCTTTAGAAAAAGAGCAGAACATTTAGCAGAACTGGTGCAGTTTCCTTCAGAAGACTTTTTATAGAAATTAATTCAAAACAATGGCTTACTTGATGCCTGAGGCGACCTTTTGACCTGATGGAGGTTTCAGCGCTCCTGTATCCATGTGGTGATTACAGGAAGGACCAGCACCTGCTATCATCGGTAAACTGCTGGTATCTGTTGCTGAACCAGACGAGACGTGAGAGTCGAGACCACGCCACCCTCGGTGACATCTACACCAACAACGTTATTGTCCGTTTGACTCAGATCAGTGAGGATGTCATTCGCCTGTTCAAGAAGGTCAGTGAAACTATCATCTGTGCACTTCCTTTGCTGCTGGTTTCTCCTCAAAGGTAGCCAATGTGTCTCAGAGCAGACTAAAACTTTGTAGGTTTTATAAAAACGACGACCTTATTGTAAACCAGCATAGGAGGTCTCTTAACTCTGGTCAGTCTGGTGTTTAATAAACTCTCTTGGAACAGTATTACAGTACTATTGGGCTCAGGAAGGCGTGTCCTGTGACTGCATTACATTTGGGACATTTTAAGGGTTTCAAATATATTTTTGATCTTAAACTTGTAGATTAAAGGTGCAACAAACACGTATTCTGTCACTAGTTACATAGTGGCTCAAACAACAGCGCGTCACCTCAGGTTGTTTGTAATGCTGATTATAAAATTAGAAAATCACGACAAATTTGATTTATTTCAGTAATCCCATTCAAAAAGTGAAACTTTCATATTAGACTCATTCATTACACACAGACTGATATATTTAAAATGTTTATTTCTTTAATTTTGATGATTATAACTGTCAACTAATGAAAATCCCAAACTCAGCATCTCAGAATATTAGAATATTGTGAAAAGGTTTAAAAACTGAAGACCCCTGGTGCCACACTAATCAGCTAATTCGCAAGAGGGCAGGAAACTACCAGGCTGTAGTAATCATCCAGCATCGAGGAGTCATCCTCTTTTTGTAGCCAGACCCGCTGATTGCAAATCAGCTGCAGCTGGAGCCTCCCTCTCCTGAAACACACAACTCAAAGATGGGAAAATGAGAGGAGCACTCACCCCGGCACATGACACAACCCCACCCTGAGCATTCTAACCGAGCCGATCAGCGCCGAGTAGCATACGTCACACACCATAACGCCGAGTTTGTCGAACATGTTGACTGAAGCGGAGTTCGCTGTGGCTCTTTCCTTAGTTCTAAATGACTTGAAAATGTCTTTAAAACCTCAACTAGTAGAAGCACTAAAAGCCTTTATTCTAAAAAAGAATAGATTATTGCGCTGTCGCCAGACCCCGTTTTTGACTACAGCTAAAAATACGACAGCGTCGCGGACGTCACACACAGCGATGCTGTAGTTTCTCATAAACATCTCATAAACAACGAAGACAGCGGCGGAGATCGCTGCGGCTCTTTCCTCTGTTCTAAATGACCTTAATGTCTTTAAAACCACAAGTAGAAGCACTAAAAGCCTTTCTTCTAAAAAAATAAAAGATGTCCGCGCCGTTGCCAGTTGCCAGCGTCTACAGCGTTGAGCGGTACAGTCGGCATTTCCGTCTTTTTTCTGATTGGTTATTTTTGAGCTGCCTAGTCCCGCCCCTCAAGTGCCTCTCTGCCTGTGAGTTACCAGACTCTCAGAGGACGAGTCTGGCAGGCCAGGCTATGGATTTTCTGCATTCCTGTGTGACGTACGCAGATGAAGATCGGCTTTAGAGCTGGGATGTTTGTTCTCATGTGTGCGGGGGCTCGTTCCGACGCCCACACAGTAAAAAAAATGCAGTGAATGAGTTAATTCAGAGACAGCTTGGCTCGGGGACGGATGACACAAGGCTCAACCCCGTCTTAATTTCTTGTTGCCCCAGAACAATACATCTCATCCAAATGTTCCTACCTCAGTATTTCCTACACTACAGTATATCTACATTTCAAAATCAAATTTTCCTTTTTGCAGGGTTTTTTTTTTTGGCCTTTTCTGGTCTCTGCAGCATTACGGTTAGTAGGGCAGTAGTCTGCAAACTTCCAGCTAAAGACCTGGTCCAAATTGGCTGTGATTTTAAAATGTTCTATTATTAAATGCCCTTTAAAGTTTTGATCAGGTTGTAGAAAAACAAACAGGTTGTGCATTAGTGATGAATATAGGGAGCTATGTAGTGAACATAGAGGTTCTGCTCACATTTATATGCTCTACACTCTTCAGCAGCAGAAGAGTTTTCTCGTTTGTGTCTCCAAACAAAAACAGTTGTTGTGCACGGTTAATGCATTCTGGACAATCTCTACTGGAAGCTCTGCTAAAATGGGAAGTTATATTTTATTAGTGATATTTCTCAGTAAATGTTTTAACACCCCATCCAGAATGTTTCTGTCATATTTCATTTGCAGGTATTGAACTGTACACTTCCAGGTTTTAACCTCATTGTAACAAATCACTTTTAAACATGGCCACCCTTGTGTGAGGCTTACACCTCGTACTGTTGGCTTTGGAGCAAAAACTGAAAGACCGTGTGACACACAGACCGTGTCTGACGTTAATAAGCTCTCCTGGCTGTTGCATGGTCTACAGAGCATTTAATGTAGAACGCCCACCCCTCCTTCTCCAGCCCTGGGCTCGCTCTCTCTCTCTCTCTCTCTCTCTCTCTCTCTCTCTCTCTCTCTCTCTCTCTCTCTCTCTCTCTCTCTCTCTCTCTCTCTCTCTCTCTCTTTCTCACTCTCTCTCTCTCTCTCTCTCTCTCTCCTCTCTCTCTCTCTCTCTTTCTCTCTCTCTCTCTCTCTTTCTCTCTCTCTCTCTCTCTCTCTCTCTCTCTCTTTCTCTTCTCTTCTCTCTCTCTCTCTCTCTTCTCTCTCTCTCTCTCTCTCTCTCTCTCTCTCTCTCTCTCTCTCTCTCTCTCTCTCCCTCCCTCCCTCCCGTCCTTCATCCCCTGAGCAACATCTGGCTGACTGTCAGCACACAGCCGGGATAACTGAGGTCTTACCCAAACACCGGAGCCCTGTTTCCACCTTGCAGGCTTTCTTGTAGGTGTGCAGCCACCTCCCTCCCTCAGACACCACCAGAGCTTTAGTGGTGACTCTTTCCAGAGGTGGAAGGAGACTAACCCTCCATCCTCCTTGAGCCGGGTGCCCCGGGAGTGCACATTTTTTTTATTTACAAGTA